CCTCAGAGGCGCAGGACCCCTCCGCCTCCCGGCTTTGCTCCAGGTGTCCCTGGTCTGCTGGAGACGGTCCCCAGCAGACCAGAGGCACCGGGAGCAAAGCGGCAGCGGCGGCGGAGTCCCGCGCCTCTGAGGCTTTGCCAGAGCAAAGCCTCAGAGGCACAGGACCCCTCCGCCTCCCCGGCTTTGCTCCAGGTGTCCCTAGTCTGCTGGAGACGGTCCCCAGCAGACCAGGGGCACCCGGAGCAGCTTTTCTCGACCCGGAGGTCGAGGTGGCGGGACCGCTGTACTCTGGGCGGTCCCGCTGCCTGCGAGCTCCGGGGCGAGAATGCCCCGTTCGTAAGTCGGATCCGCGTAACTCGGGGACTGCCTGTATACAAAATAATTCTTTAAAATGCTTGCTTTGACACGCAATTTGAAAAAAAACAGATCCCATCTTCTCAAAATGCGTATGTGCAGACTTTATTTTATTAGTATTCATGTTGCACATTAACTAATGGATATTTCTTGTGCTAAACTTCCTATCCCAGGGGCTCTTTGAATTAAAGATTATTGATGTGTACTCCATCAATTTGAACTGATTTTAACGTCACCATTATTTTAACCCTATTTTATAATCCACTTTTGAAACAGTCACCCCTTACTACTAATCCAATATTTTCCCTTTCTTGATTCTTCCTTGACAATTATATCCTGTGCACAACAGTTAACTATACAGAATCAAATTAATGCAATACAATCAATATATGACCACTGTATAGGTTAAGTCTAAATACCACATGATTTGCGAATCAGACAGAATAAAAATACTTTCCCATCAAAAAGACAGACCATAAACTAAAAATAAACAAACATGATACCAACTTCTCCCCCCAAAAAAGACGCATTAAATCCAAACATTAAAAAAATAAATAAATATTGAGTATTACTATTCTTCTTTTCCTCGTAACTTTACATTTCTTATAAAAATCTATGAATAATTTAAGTCTCTCATTGTAGCACTCAATTTAAGTCATTTTTCAGTTATATGGTGCTTCACCAGCTAGCCATCACAAGCAAACCATTAGGACAGGTTAGGGAGCCTTGGCGCCAGATCTGACCCTTAATTGGTCCATGACGAGGCTCCCCACTGCACGTCTCCAAACCCAACTATGTGCCCCCTTCACACAGGGCTCATCGGGAGCCAGGTCAGTGAGCTTTGGTGGGAGGAGGCTGGTTAGGATTTTTGTGTTGTGGTAGTTGTTTTTGCGTTTGATGGGAGCCATGTCAGTGAGTTATGCTGTTGGGCTTGTTTAGGGTTTTTTGCTTCTCACTTGTGTGTGGCCCTGAACTGTTTTTCCTGTGGGTCAGTGGCCCTGGACCAAAAAAAACCAAACAAACAAAAAAAATCCCATTCCTACTTTAAGAAATTAGTGTACTAAGACTAAAAGTAAAATAGGAAAACTGAAATCGAGGATTTTCTTTCTATATATAAAAAAAGTTTTTTCTGTGGGATGACAGAGTGATGTTATCATGTCACTATGCATCCTCTCTCCCACTGGAGCCAATTATAGCGAGCTGGGGGGTAGCAGCCCCGCCCCCAGTTTGAACCCCTGGATTTCATATTGGAGGTCTGCTTGAAGATGCATGCCTCGACTCCAGAGGCAGTTCTTAAATGCAACAAGAGTTTGAGCTGCTTGCAGCTTTGCCTTTGGGGCAGGGAGTTTCTCTAAAAAACAAAGGGAGGCAGATGATTAAGACTAACAAAAGGCTCCAGTGGGGGGAGGGGGGGGAGAAGAGGTGGAAGGGCAAAGTCATAAGCTGCCCAGCCTCAAAGACTTTCTCCCCCCCCCCAGTGCTCAGGAGGGGGGCAGAAGCTGCCTGGCCTCTCTGCTCCCGCTTCCCCCAGTGTTCCAGGGGGCCAGGAGCCGTGTTGCACCCCCCTCCCCCACACACCCTAGGTCGGGGGGGAGAGGGGGAGCTGGGCCAGCCTTGCCTCAGTCTCCCTCCCAAAGAGCCAGAGTGGTAGGTGGGGGGTGGAAAGGGCCAGGGGAGGAGAGAGGGGAGTGGAGAAGAGCAAGGGAGAGGTGGGGCAAGAGCCAGGGCAGCCTCGGGGCCCAAGGCAAGGGGAAGAGGCAAGGGCAGGAGAAGGAGAAGAGCCTCAGCCTTGGCCCAACCCCACCCCAGCGCCTGGGGAAAGAGCCAGGCCAGCCTGGGCCTGGCCCAACTCCCTGGTGGCTGGGGAATGGGTGTCTGTCTGTCTGTGAGAGTGTGAGAGAGTGAGAGAGCCAGGGCTGGCCTGGCCTCAGGGGGACCTGGAGGGCCAAGGACAGAGAGCCGGGACAGGCCATGGCTGTCACACCTTGGCCTGGCTCTCCCTGATGGCTGGGGAGGGGAGCTGGGGCTGCCTGCCTCCAGAGAGGAGTGGGTTAGCAAGCATAGCGAAAAGGGGGCACCACCCCTTAGTTTTTATAACATGCAAATAATTTCTCAAATGTATTAGGCAGTCAAGTCCAACACTTACCTGCATTGCTGCTCTCAGATTTTTCCTCTGGCTGGCTTTCTGTAAAAAAAGAATAATAATGTGTGTGTAATCTTGGAGCATGATAAAATTTTTCTAAAAGCATGCCTAAAAATGTAAAAATCCAAGAACATACAAGTGGATAAAAGGAATGAGAAAATACAGGAATCTTTTCTTTAGTTTATAAATATACTTTGAAAGAGGCAATACCCCACAACGGACAACAAAAGTCTCATTTTTGGAGTCCAAATCTACAACAAAATTCATGCAGGAGCATCCCTAAGCTCTTATTAATAGGACTTCATTTGGGTGGAGGCAGCTGCTTATATGAAATCAATAACAAGACTGGATTTGACTAATGAATAGAAACCTACTTCACAAGACCACACCAATCAAAACTCATTTTGTAGACTTAGAAATGCCAGCTGTTCTGAAAAGAGATCTACACTCAGGCAGTTTGCAAGGAGTAGAAATGGGGAGAGACTAGACAACAGTTAAACCAGGTTAAGTCTGTATAGTCTATTAGATATATTCCCTGGTTTCTGAGGGAGACTTTTAAGAATTTCAAGAATATGGGTAGTAATCCTTAATTAGCATGAGATAATCATTTCTCAAGCAGTCCTTTCCAGAGTTTCTTCCATATTAGTACACAAAATAAAAGTTTTTGTAACCATCCTTCCACAGCTGTCTGATTTACTATTTCATTATTATTATTTCCTGTATTATTACTGTAGCCTTAAAAAGCCCCAAATGAAACTAGGACTCCTTTGTGCTAAGCACTGTATATACACGCAGTCCCTCCTCCAAGGCACTTACAATAAAAAAGACAAAACAGAAAAGAGCTTGGGGAAAAGAGAGGCAGAGAGTGGGGAAGGAACTTGCTGAAACCCCTACACCAAGGTCTGAATGGCACAAAGTACAAATACACATCCTTGCAGGAGATAAAAGACTGAACCGAACCCAAAATAATTACAGAATTCTGTAAATATATATTTATACAGAAGTGTAACAACTCAAAATTAAACTGAATTCTTTTGCCCTGCCTCCACTGCTCCCTTTGATCTGAGGAAGTGGGTCTGGCCCACGAAAGCTCATCATCTAATAAACCATCTTGTTAGTCTTTAAACTGCTACATAGTCCTGCATTTTGCTTCCACTGCTCCCAAATGCCTTCCAGGTTAGGAACAAAAAACATTATTTCCTCCTTTTGATACGGTGTCACTTCAATAAATATTTGTCCTTAGCTACTCAATTCAACAGACTTGCCAGAGCTACCATTACAGATTATTTACTTACAGCCTGAGTGAGTTATTACTGTAGTTCAGTGAGTAATTTTTTTACTTCAAGTTTTTAGTTCAATTTGTTCTCATTTTGTGCCTGAGAGGACTGACAGGCTGAGGGTCTAACTACATTAGAAAAAATGACACACATTTAAGTCGTAGTTTTAAAGCAGTGGTCCCCAACCTTTTGGGGCTGCCGGGTGCCCGGGGCTGGGGCCGCCGGCGCCCGGGGCCGGGACCACCCGCGCGCCCAGGACCAGCACTGCTCATGTGCCACGCCCCCAGGGGTGGAGATTGTTCGGCAGGCGCACATTGTTCGGCAGGCGCACATAAATGCCCCGGTGGGTGCCATGGTGCCCGCAGGCACCGCGTTGGGGACCACTGTTTTAGAGCAATGTTTTTTCAGACTTCCAGCCTGCCCTGGCACTGCAGACCCATGCTGCACCCCAGAAGCAGCCAGCAGGAGGTCAATGGAAGTGCAGAGTTACTGCTCAAGGCAGGGGAAGTGCACAGAGCCTTGTGTGTTCTCTCCCCCGCCACCACCTAGAAGTTGGGCCTACTGCTGGCCACTGCTGGGGCACAGCACAGTTTGCAGTGCCAGGACAGGCAGGAACCCTGCCTTAGCACCCCCACTGACCCCCGCGCAGCAATGAGACTCAGTGTCTGACATTTCACAACACAGTACTGGGTTGCAACCCATAGTTTGAAGACTAGGTATGTTAAGTAGCGGTTAATTAACTAATCAAGTAGTAGACTACTCAATTAGTTAATAAGGGAGGGTGCCCACTATACGTAGGCAGCCGCGCTCTTACTACAGTTAAAACTCAGTGCAGCAGCAGGTTTAGCTCTTGGTGGCGGTATGAGCCAGGACTGAGAAGTCCCAGCTAACGCTAGCTTTGGGACCGCTGCAGCGCTGCCTCCTCTGCCCTCCCCCCACACTGCAGAGACAGTGCTGGGGGGGAACTGGCTTTTAAGATGGCTCTTCCCAGCACCAGCTCCTGCTTCCCGATCCCTTGCTGCCTCTGGTACAGAGGCAGCAAGGGGAGGCAGGGAAGCAAGTAGTTGAGTAGTGACTCAACTACCCGATAAACCTAAGCTTATCAGGTAGACTACTCGAGTAGTCACTTACATCCCTACTGAAAACCACTGGTTTTAGAGTACTGAGACATCAGCATGGGGGCACGCAGGAAGACACTTCCATGTGGGTTTAGTCTTGGGCTTCCTTTTAACCTGTTTTCTAACAAGGAATGAAAACATCCCTCCTTTCTCCAGGGAACCCCATAAGGAGCACCGGACCCCAGCAGCTTCCAGTACTTCTGTCATGACACAGGCTGTCTCCAGTTCCTGCTCCTGCTCTGCAGAGATGGGTTACCGGGGACAGCGCGCACACACACACGCGCGCACACACACACGCGCGCGCGCACACACGCGCGCACGCACAAAAGAGAGAGTTGGCTGCTAAGGAAATCTCAGAAAGAGGGCACTGTCTCTAAGAAATGCACACAATCTCAAACTCAAGGAGTGCTCCCAGTCTGGCTGGCCTCCTCCTTCCCTACTCCATGGGAACGGATTACAGAGACAGGGAGACACCCTGACATCAGTGCCCCCTCTCCGGTGTGCACAGCCAGCTGTCCACGAGCAGCTGCAAAAGAGAGCAATGTGGGGGGAAGAGCACCTGAACACACACACTGCTGGCAGTGGAGCTCTGCTTATCAGCAAGCCTGCTTTCCTGCCAGAGATTGCAATCAACTGGGAGAGTGTTTAGGATCAACCAGTTGATCACGATCAACTGTGGTGACCACTGTTCTAGTTAAAACAGTAAAAGTGAAACAGTCACTTAACCTAGAGATGTGAACAACTAGTCAACTACACAATAAGCAAAAGCTTATCAGATAGTCGACACACTAGTCAACTAGTTGCTCCCCCGCTACCTCTATCAGAAAGAGGCAAAGGGGAGGGGGAGGAGAGGTGCTTCAAAGGAGCCCGGGGTCAGCTGGGGATTCCCCCTCGTTTGAAATGCCATGGGGAACATGGGGCCAGTGGGGGACTGCTTGAGTCCTCACTGTCCCTGTGCTCCCCACAGCGCTTTCGCCTTTGAAGTTCCTTCAAAAGCGGAGGCACACTTATTGACTAATCAAGTAGTTGATGCAAATTGCACTGACTATTCGATTAGCCAATTAATCTAAATTTAACATCCCTAGCATAACCCTGGCAGTCAGCCACACTCAACCAAGTAAGAGACATCTGCTAATCTTTACCACACCCATCAGAAAGGTGGTGCACAAACATCATCCCCATTATACAGATGGAAAAACTGAAGCAATGTGATTTGGTGACTTGCCTAGAAAGAATTAACAACTGGTGGTATCAATCAAAATGAAGTCTCTAAAGAAGTCATTTTGAGTAGTATTGTTTAGTTTTCTGATCACAGAATGCAGGTTCTTTCTGATCTTTGCAAATATTTTGGAATCTGCTATTAACTAGATAGATCTAAAAGGCTACTGATCCTTCTACTTTTACAGTTAACGTGGTTATCAATTGGTGTTCTGCTGCTACAGCCTCACAGTCCCCACAGTCCCCCCATAAAAAAACCTCAAACAAACAAAGAGGTATTCAATTAAACCTCAGAGGCATCTTGGACAACAGAACATGTGACTAAGTGCTAGACTCACAAAGTGCAGAAAGCTAGAAAGGATGGTGGGAGCAGAAAGGACTACCTTTCTGTTTTTTATAATTTTATTCTTCAGAAATTTCGAATTTCATTTCACCTTTAATGGAAGGGTAGAAGACCTGGGGAGTGTCCTGCCCTCTAATGGTATTGGACAAATATAAAAAAAAACAGCAGCTTTAATAATGTTGCAGAAGTTATTTTGTTCAGCAACAGCAACGGAGTTTAAAAAACTCAGACTATCATTTAGGCCAACTTTAGTATGAAATAACCACACAAGATGCTAAAAAAAATCTTGATAACTGAGTGTTTTACAGAAAACAAACAAAAAAGTAATTATAGTGAAGTTAGCATCATTGCTTTAATGAAGGAGGAGAACACCATTTTTCTAGGACTGTAATCACTTTCTATAAGTAAAATCTTTTCTCCAAAATTCTTAAAATGGCTGGTACATCCGAGGTTTCAAAGATGTCAACTGTTTACAACAAACCCAATGTACAAACTGTGAATATTAATTCTGGGTGGTATATAATTGCATACCAACAATCTAACACTGCAGTTCTGCATGGCAGCTCAGAAAGGGTTTTCCGCATGGAAAGAGACAAATTCAGCTGTGGAAAAAGAGAAATAGCTGGGTGGAGAGACATGAGTGCAGCATATTAAGCTAGATGGGCAGATGAAAAGGGAGGGGCAGAATAACCTGGAACTTTGAATGCAATAACAAAAAGCTTGAATTTGATGCATTAGAAATTTTCTGGAGAAGTACTAGTCAGGAGAAACTGGAATGGAGGATATTAGCAGCTGTATTTCTGTTATGGACTGGAGGTCATGACAATACACATAATCAGCCCATCAATCACTGAGTGCCTCTTGGAGAGAGACAGATAATATACAGTAAAACTCCATTGGTCCGGCATCCAATGCTTCGGCACTCCTGATGGTCCAGCACCATCAGGAACCCAGAAGTGCTCTGGCTGCCGGACAATTGGAGCTGCTCTTTGCCTGGGTTTTTGCTTCCCCAATTCAGTCGCTGCTGAAACTGACCATCAGATGAATAGGGGAAGTCGGGGGCAGGGCAGCTGGGGTGCTGCCGGGTTGGTCCCGTAGTGCTGCCCCTCGGGGCTGCGGGACCAACCCGGCAGCACCCCAGCTCCTCTGTCCCAGGCGTCCCCAAGAAACTGACCAGCAGCGGCTGAACCGGGGATGCCTGGGGCAGAGCCAGACTATCGGAAGGGGGGGCTATGAAGGGTCATGGGTGGAATCCCTCTACCCCACCCCAGGACCCTCATAGCCCCCCCTTCCGATAGTCCGTCATATAAGATAATCCGGCACCCCCTGGGTCCTAAAGGTGCCGGATTATCGGAAGTTTACTGTAGTTATTTTCTGTGCTATTTATGTTAGAATTCTCTATAACTATTTAACAGAAACACTTACACAAGATTAGAAGACAGAAATTACTTTCAGTAGGTGTTCAGACACTACACTGATGGGAGCCATATAAAAACCTACATAACTTTTGTTTTAAGAATTTGGTTCTTTATTTCCTAGAAATTTTCCATGCCACTTTTAAAAACAAACAGTCATATTACATATCATATCTCAATGTGGCAGCTTGACCTAGGAGTATTTCAGACATATAGTAAGTTTAGATTTTAAAAAGGAGCATTTTACTTGTGTCTAGGAGCAAGTCACTGGAAGCAGACAAAGTCCAGGACCTATGAAGCCAAACTCAAAATTTCACATATGCAGTGCCAACTCCGCCTTGTTTAATGGAATTATCCACCTTACACTAAGTTTGAATTAGCCCATAATGTAAAATCTACACAAAGCCAATATATTAAGCCTGATCCTGCTGTTCTGAATCACACAAGTGGCGTATTTCCCCAATCAGTGTTACCTAAGGTCTAATGTGGTAAGAAAAGCACTCTTCTTCATCCGTAAATCAAATATTTGAAAGTTAAAATTAAAACTTAGAGTCAGCTTTTCCGAGCTACCTGCTGTCACAAAATGATGCAAAGGACTACTAAAATAGGAAGGAAACTGATTTATAGTCACATTCAGAAAAGAAAGAGTACTCCTAAATATATAACACAATCACCTTCCAATTTTTGATCCAGAATTGAAACGGTCAAATTATGCTACTTTCTAGCCAGATAGTGGCTGCCAGAAGAAAGCTCAGAAATGATCAGTTTAATCAAACATGATCAGTCTAAAAGAGAAACCTAACCATATATTTTTTTAAAAAGTAATTTTGCTCAGTGTAGCATATTGAAATATATGCAAAAACCTCCAAAAACATTCCCACCCACACCCAAAAATTACAACTATAACAACTGATGACAAAGATAAAATGACTGGAAGCACAAATAGCATTGTTGCATAGCAACTGGTGATGTACATATGGTGATGTTTATGAAACAGGATGTCGTTCATATTTAATGCAAAAATACGACCAAACACTAGCCTGGAAAACAAAAGAAACAATTGCGTTCTGGGTTCCCTGTGCAATAATCATAGAAACCACACCTCCCAGTAACCCATTTTTCATAAACTGATCTTCAGGAAAACCATGCCCAGACATAGCAATGTTAGATATCATGTAATTGGATAGTCGTTTAACCGCATCAAAATTTACCAGTTACATGACTATTTGATAGTCACTGGGGCTGGGAGCCAGTGCACTCCCAACCCCAGTCCCAGGGAGCCCCCTGCCACTCCACACTGCAGCCTCTGACCATGGTGGGG